TGTTTCTGGGGAAGAAGGGAAAAGGGCACTCTGCCGGCTTGATGGTTGAGCTTTTTGCTGGCATTTTCTCATTTCATCAACCCTACAAGATAAGGTTGTTTCTTTCACTTCAATGATTAGGTGATTTAGGTTCCAGATACCCAATGACTGGCCTGGAGTTGATCCTTCTGATTGCAAACTCAGGCCCTTCCCATTGCCCAGGAGAATTTCCTGGGCAGATCTCCAGTCCAGATCTCCATGGGATCCACATTCTTCACTCCTCACCTACAGAACAGGTCTCACTGCTGCTGCAAATCCATGACTGGGTGGTCAGGGAACGAGACCTTCTGTTCTTAAAGTGGCCACTAATTTACTGTGTTGTTCCTGGAAAGTTGCTTCCCTTCTCTGGGCCTCAGTTTCTTTGTTTATAAAACAACAGAACTGGACTAAATAGTGTCTCCTAACTTCACCTAAACCAGAGTAGATTACCTCGATTTTCTTCTAGATCACAAAACTGGGCACACTTTTTAAAATTTTTAGACATTTTACATTTTTGTCTGTTCAGTGAGGCATGTGGGATGGGATCTTAGTTCCCTGACCAGGAATTATACCTACTACATCCCCTGCAGGGGAAGCCCGGAGTCTTAATCACCGAACCACTGGGAAAGTCCCAAACTGGACACACTATTTTTTTTTTCTTTGGCTCTTTGTTGCAATGCGTGGTCTGCCTAATTGTGGCGTGCAGGCTTAGTTGCTCCGCAGCATGTGGGATCTGAGTCCTGTGACTGGGATCAAACCCGAGTCCCCTGCAATGGAAGATGGATTCTTAACCACTGGACCACCAGGGAAGTCCCTATTTTTTTTTAACGGGGCACTCTTTGAAGCATGTTTCTTTTTTGTTTGTCATCCTACACCTCATCCCCACTCTGTACCCATGCAGCAGCACACACACTCGTATTCCACACACTGGGACTCCCTTAAAAGCCTAGTACAATGACTGGCTCATGGGTCCTAATCTGAAATTTTGAAAAACCTACTCCAGTTTTTTAAACTGAAACTAAAGCATACCTTTCTCCTAAAATTAGTGCTCTAAAGCCAAGTCTCCAATCTAACATTATCGCTAAATTGGACCTAAAATATCTAAGGAAGTGGAAGTGTTAATTGCTCAGTCATGTCTGAATCTTTGCAACCCCATGGAGTGTAGCCTGCCAGGCTCCTCTGTCCATGAAATTCTCCAGGCAAGAATACTGGAGTGGGTTGCCATTCCCTTCTCCAGGGGATCTTCCCAACGCAGAGACTGAACCCAGATTCTTTACTGTCTGAGCCACTGGGGAAACCCAACATATCTAAGAGTATAGCTTATTTCTGGCAGGAAGCAATTGATTTAGATTTAGTTACTCAAGGAAAGAGCTAGGGTTTTGTTTCCTTTCCTTTTTTTTTCCTGCTCAAGTGATTCTTGTTCACTGTTGACAGATTAGAAAAGCACATGTGAAAAAGGGAAACTAAAATCACCTGTAATCTTGCCCCTTAAATGTAACCATTGAGAATATTCTGGCTTTATACTCATCTAGACTTTAATTTTTCCTATTTATGTATAAATGTGCATATTTAAGTAAAAAGTAGAGCTTATATACTGATTATTTTTTTCTCACATGCCTCAGAGGGCGGGACTTGCTGGTGAAGTCACTGAAACCTACTAGTCAGTACAAGAATAAGCCAATCTCTCCAAGCCTCAGTGGGTTTTGTTTGTTTTTATTTTTAAATTTTATTGAAATATAGCTTATTGACAATGTTGTGTTAATTCCTGTTATACAGCAAAGTGACTCAATTATATAATCTTTTTCATATTCTTTTCCCTTATGGTTTATCACAGGCTATTGAATATTGTTCCCTGGGCTATACAGTAGGACCTTGTTGTTTATCCATCCTGTATAAAGAAGTTTGCATCTGCTAATCCCAGACTCCTAATCCTTCCCCTTCCCACCCTGCTTGGCAACCACATGTCTATTCTGTATGTTTCTGAGCCTGCTTCTGTTTCATAGATGAGTTCATTTGTGTCATATTTTGGATTCCACATTTAAGTAATAGTGTATGATATTTATCTTTCTCTTTATAATTTACTTTGCTTAGTATGATCATCTCTAGGTCCATCCATGTTGCTGCAAATGCAAGCCTCTGTGTTTTAGCTGTAAAACGGAGGTAATAATACCCGCCTAACTCTACTCCTGGGAGAAGGCAGTAGCACCCCACTCCAGTACTCTTTTGCCTGGAAAATCCCATGGATGGAGGAGCCTGGTAGGCTTCAGTCCATGGGGTCGCTAGGAGTCCGACGCGACTGAGCGACTTCACTTTAACTTTTCACTTTCGTGCATTGGAGAAGGAAATGGCAACCCACTCCAGTGTTCTTGCCTGGAGAATCCCAGGGGCAGGGGAGCCTGGTGGGCTGCGTCTATGGGGTCACACAGCGTCGGATATGGCTGAAGCGACTTAGCAGCAGCAGCAGCAACTCTACTCCTCATTGTGAGGACTAGGCGTTACGTAAATTACCCAGCTATCTAGCACTGGCCTACAGTAGATGCTAAGTAAAAGATAATTAGTTAGGCCTCATATCACCTTCTTTTTATTTCTTAACCAAACCATTAATCAAGATTTGGATTCAGAAGGCCTGAGTTGCAATCAAAACATTTCTGTCTTTAAGAGTTTAAGCCTAATATTAAAGCCAATCAAAAACCAAAATCACCAAGGGGAGATGCAAGAAAACCAACCCCAAGTCTCTTCTCAGACACCTAGGACATTTTAATCAGGAGTGTTTGTTCACTCTTCGAGAATCTAAGCCTCATCAAGTCCCCTTTCTGGTCCAAGTAGCTCTGAATCAGCTTTTTATAAAATGTAAAACTAATGCAAAATAAATATCAAAATCTTTTTTATTACTTAGTTGGCCTTGGGCACAGCATCAGTGATTCAGTTTCAGAAGGACTTCTCATCCAGAATTGCCTGTTTCACTATTAAACCTCCTGAGAGAGGGAGGGCTGACTTCTACTTCCCCAAAGTTAGTGGGAAAATGTTTCAGAAGAGAATAGTTGTCCCATTTTAATTTTAAATTCTAAGAAGAGGTAGCATTCCTAGAACAGAGATGGTTCTAACTGTATGGTTTGTGATGTAACTTCTGTGTTGAAGGGAGGAGATGGGTAATAATAATACCTAAGGATGGGGGGTGGGATGAAACCTAAGAGCAAATAACACAGAAGTTACATCCCAAGCCATACTTGATTCAGACCCAGGCAATTGGGATGTAGGCACTAAAGTCTAAGAGGCCAGGCCCCGCCCACTTTGTGTACAGTATTGGGAACCTAGTGCTGAAGCGTTTGTGAATGGGTTTCTCAGTTTTCTGATGGCCCAAACCAAAAGAAGACAGTATCCTTCATTCTCCCTCAGGAAGCATTTAGGAGTGTTTGCTATATATAGCCTGGGCCCTTCGTTAAGAATCAATAATAGAAAGACAAATGGAACCGTTCCTTGCTTTGGAGGAGCTCACGGGTTACTGGGGTAAGCAATTCTGCACATTGTACAACAGAGCCTCGCAGTAGAGGGCAGATAGTACCCCGATGGAGGCATGGCCTGAATGTGCTGGGCAAAGAGGGTATGGCCCATGGCTCCGCCTCCTGACTGTGCCCAGGTGGGTGAGCTCTGCTCGCTGAGCTGGGAACTGTCTTCTCCTTTTGCGCCCTGGAGGAACCAGGTCAGAGATCACCTCCTTTCCTGGCCCTGGGAAACTTTGGTGATGGTTGGTAATGGCTTTGTGTAGTCTACTGGGAAGATCTCATTGAGAAGGTAACATGGAAGCCAAAACCTAGGAGTGAGGGAGCCGGTTATTTGGGTATCAGAGCAAAGAGCCTTCCTGGAAGAGGGACACAGGTTCAGATTCCAAGGAGCAGTGGATGCCTGGATGCCTGGAATGTTTGCTGGATGGCAAAGGAGGTGTGTGGTTGCAGCGGGTGTGTGGGTGAGTGTGCAGGAGGGGCTGGGGGGGCAGTGCTCAGATCAGGAGTCTGTTGGGTACCCGCTGTAGAGCCTTTTTTGTTACTTTAAGGCCTGTGGTTTCTGCTCTATGTGATGTTAAGTCCTCTCGGGGCTTTGAGCAAGAGGAATGGCATTGTCACTCCAGCTGCTATATTGGGAATTGAAGGCTTTGTGGGAAACCAGTTAGAGGTTACTGCAAAATTCAAGAAGAAGATAGATGGTGGTGACTTGGACCATTTCCATCACCCTGAGAAGCTGATGGGAGAAATGTGCAAGGGAACTGATGAGGCATAGATCCAAGATAGTTTTTTGCTGATAAGATGTTAGCAAAGAGTGTCACTGTAATATAGTTTATTTTTACCATGAGTCAGGCTTTATTTACCAGTTCTACTGACATTTGTTCCACCCTGACTGCCTGCTAGGTCCCCTGTTAGACACTTGGAACAGCAAATACAATCTGCTCCTTGAAACTCTCAGTGGAGCAGAATTATAGAGATTCTACCCAAATATAACATCATCAGCACCATAAAAAACCCCAGCTGCTGCAATATGATGTTTTTACAAATATAGGGAAACATTAGCCAAAACATTGAGGATTTACTATGTGCTTGACAAGCCCATGTGTATGATTATGATATGTGATTGTTATAATTATTACAGTTGGATGCTCTTCTTTATAACCCAACTAGACCGCTACAAATAAAGAAACTATTGGCCAACAACCTAATATTCCAGCCTAAAAATGTTATTTCTGGGCTGTGCAATCCAGCATTACCAAGAACCCTAACAACCCTAGTGCCTCCCCAAAACCCATCATAGAAAATGCATGTGCCATTTTTTCCAAGCGTCTTCTCCCTTCCTAACCCATGGAATCATGTTCCTAGTCCCTTAATCTCACTGACTGGTCAGCCTATTTAAGTCCTATTTATTGCATGTCTGTTTTTCCATGTCATTCTTTGCCTTAAAGAAAGTTAAGCTGAAACGGCAGCTCAGCTTCGGAGATGTTACCGTCCAAATTGCATGCGCTTTTCTGCCTCTGCACCTGCCTTGCGCTGGTTTATCCTTTTGACTGGCAAGACCTGAATCCAGTTGCCCATATTAAATCAGAAGGTAAGAGGTATATTTGTTCAAGGGCTTGAACTATCCACCTGTTGCCAGACTCGAAGTGGCCCCAGGGACGTTATGTGTGGGATCGTCTAAGAAGGTGCTGATGGAGATCCTTAACTCTCCTGAGGGAGTGGAGGGGCCTCACTCTTCTTCCTACTGAACCTGGAGAAAGAAGTACCTTCTTCTTCAACATCAGAACTGCAACACAGGGACCTCCCTGGTGGTCCACTGGTTAAGACTCTGCACTTCCAGTGCAGGGGATATGGGTTCAATCCCTGGTCGGGGAAGTAAGATCCCACATGTGGCATGGCCAAAAGAAAAGGACTGCAGGACTGCTCAGATGAGGCCTTTTCAGACAAGCTGGAAGCTCAGCTTGCAATCACGGAGGTAAAGGTCCACACTGCCTTTTTTAGTGCATCACTGCTCTGACCCATGCCCTCTGGGTACAGTAACACATCTCCCCTGGAGTGCCCTCCGAGGAAACCCCAAACCTGCCCCCACGATGGTGAAGAAGAGGCAGGTGTCTCAATCAACAGGTGTAGTCCTGGTTGATGGTGGGGAGGTGTTAGAAGATGGTGATTTAGAATTTGGATCCAGAGTCAGACAACATTTTCTGTCTAATGACGGGGAAAAGCAGGGACCAGCAGGCACCTGGAGTCCCAGATAAGAATGTGACTCTTTCTTACCTGCTCTTTCTTATCTTTTGTGGGGAGGGAAGGAGAAGAGGCGACAGAGGATGAGACAGTTGGATGGCATCACCAACTCAACGGACATGAGTTTGAGCAAACTCTGGGAGATAGTGAAGGACAGGGAAGCCTGGCGTGCTGCAGTCCGTGGGGTCGCAAAGAGTCAGACACGACTGAGCGACTCAACAACAGCAACAAAAGAAAGGAGGCGGAGGCTTGGTCAAGCCCAAGAGTGGTGGCCAGAGTGGGTCAGCCATCTCTAGACAGGGACATCTATGACCCCCAAAAGGACCTTGATTGCAAAGTGATTCCCTCTGGAGTCTTGAGAATGCTTGCTAATTTCAGACAGTTGGGCTCAGGAATTCTCTCATCTGCTCAGGTGAGCAGTGTTGGTGGCCTCTGAAAGGTACCATACTGTCTGTATCCACTGACCTGTGCACCTAGGGAGACATGACTTCTCTGGATCTAGTTGTGCAGGGTTGATGGGTGACTCCTGACTGTGACATTTACCAAAGATCTTTCATAACCCAATGCCTTACCAATCTGGCCCTACTTCATAGATGGGGAAATGAACACAACAGCAGGAGAGAGACTAGATCTTCTGTCTATATTTGCATAGAAATGACCTCTTATCTCACAGGTCCATTCATGCAACAATACTTATCAGAAAGGTGAGGCATGAGTCATACCTCATTGGTGACTAACACAGAGGACTCATAATCGAGTTCAAGGGGTCTGCAGCCTGATTATATTAGTTCTCTCGGTAACTTATCTGTAGGTTGAAAACAGGTGGCACCTTACATGATGAGCAGATTCTTTTACATCATGTGCTTTATATTGGTACAGGGTGGGAATTTCAAAACATGTACCCTATTCCCCCATGTTTGAAAATAGCTGGAAAGCCATTATTGAGCCAGCAGAAACTTGAGGACACTGCTTGATTCATCTGTCCTCCCAGCCCATTCATCCTAAATACTCAAAAAACAATGCATGAATATGTTTTAAATTATTAGAAATAGTTTATTCAATAAAAGATGAAAGTAATGTATGATTATTTGTATCATTGGTATTAAATTAATTCATAGAAAATATGGTCATATAGCTAAAAGGTTTATCAGCATGGCTAGAGATGTCCCATTTGTTAATGGAGGACATAAAATCATAAAGAGAGGGTCATTTTCCTCACATTTGTACAATCCATCTCCAACCCCAGAAATAGACATCAGGACTGTTTGATAAATGAACATCACCAAAAATGTATACTAAAATTAATAGCATGCCATAGATTCTAATGCTCCTATTAAAATGAAGTTGAAGAAAAATAGGAAGTGGCATCTCTAAGTTCTGAACCATGAAACTATATCATCTAGAGAGTGGCCATTCAACCTGGCAAGTCTCTTCCTTGTCTCTTTTTTTTCATGATGTGTGCTGATCGATGGCTAGAGAATGGGAAATCCAGAATCCTATCCATTAGCTGTGGGCTGGTGAACCTTTTCTTTTTTGAAAACTTAGCTGAAGTATAGTCAGTTTACATGTTGAATTTAATTTCTCCTCTACAGCAAAGTGAATCAGTTATACACACACACACATTTGTTCTTATTCTTTTCCATTGTGGTTTATCACAAGACATTGACTAGTTCTCTGTGCTATACTGTAGGACCTTGTTGTTTGGTGAAACTTTTTTGCAACCATCCTGGCACTCACCAGCCACAGGGCCCAGGAGACCTATACTCAAACCTGAGTCAGCTCAAAGTTTTCTGGGACCATCTCAGGGGTCAGGCGTCCTGGAACTGGCAGCCTAGCAGTTTTGCCTTGTCCTGGGCTCCTGAACACTGGATGAGGCTTTTTGGTAGAGCTGGTTTTAGAGGACCAGGTTACTCTGAGGTGAGTGGAAATGTTCCCAGAGCCTGGGTGGAGCTGACAGCTCATAAACCTTGTACAACATGGAACCCATGGTTCTAGAACTGGACACTCAATTCTAGAGGTAGTACTTCCCAGACAGCTGTGGGTTCTCCGGGGCTCCTCACCAAGCTGTGGTTGGAGTCCCTGTGGCCACACCATGGTTCCTGTGGGTGGGGGCTACAGGAGAACCCAGGCTGCTTGTCACAGAAGGCCTGCCCTCCTGTCCTCCGGACTTGAAGTCCTGCTATTACATCATGAAGGACCACTCAGCCGACAGTCTTAAATGGGAGAGAAAAAGCCTTTTGTAATCCTAAATAGACCCTAAAATGTTAGCCTTATAGGTAAAGCTTGTTGAAGAATTGTTTCAGAGGAAATGCCTTGGATTTCGTATCTATACAGAGAAAAATGGTATGATCTAGTGTGCGTGCATGCTAAGTCGCTTCAGTCTTAGTGTCTAACTCTTTGTGACCCCGTGGACTGCAGCCCACCAGGCTTCTTTGTCCATGGGGTTGTCCAGGCAAGAATACTGGAGTGGGTTGTCTGCCCTCCTTCAGGGGATCTTCCTGACCCAGGGATTGAACCCATGTCTCTTATGTCTTCTGCATTGGCAGGCAGGTTCTTTACCACTAGCACCACCTGGGAAGCCCATGATCTAGTGTAGATCTGCTAAAACTCCTCTTCGGGCTTGAATTTGGGTAACCAGAGTTAGCTAACTGTAGGGAAGGGGCAAATAACCTCGGTTGTCTGCCTGTTACAGGTGGTGGTCATAACACACCTGTAAGTCAAGTCAGGACATGAGTTTGAGGGAGTTCTGGGAGTTGGTGATGGACAGGGAAGCCTGGTGCACTGCAGTCTATGGAGTCGCAAAGAGTTGGACATGACTGAGTGACTGAACTGAACTGGTCAAGTCAAGCTACCTTGATTTATGTGATCACTTGATCCATACAGCTGTGCTGAGGGCTGACCAAGTGATTATATCCCCACTTTACAAATGAGGATCAGAGAAGGGAGTAAGTTGCCTAGGGCAGAGTGGCATAGCTTGTAAGATATACAACTGGAACCCAAGATAGCATCGCTTGGCTCCAGCACCAGGGTCCATTCATCACAACCATTGCCTTCCTTGGAGCTATCTCCTACAATTCGAACATGAATTGCTGACTGTGTGTCAGGCCAGGTGGTCTGGTACCTTGGCCCAGTGCTTCTGACAAAAGACACAACTTTTCAGATTCAGTCGAATTGAGGTGAGGCCTAAGAGCCTCATTCCCAAGCTCCCATTTAAAGCCAGTGATGCTGGTCCATGGACCAACTTGAAGTAGCAAGGCCTTGTGAATTGAAAGGCTCATCACTGGCAGGTGCTTCACACACCAGTGTGGAGGATGTAAATGACCTTCTTCTCATGACTCAACACCTTTCTGAGAGATGCCCTATGAAGTCAGATGCCATGCATAACATAGTTATGTGTCTACATGGCAGAGGCAGAGTGTGATAGAAAGCATGAAAGACTGTCCAGCAAAATAATCACCTCTCACAGTGCAGAAGAAGGAATGGAGCAGGCTAGCTGAATCTAGAAAAGTGAGTCCAGATGCATTGATACATGCTGAAATTAAATGTGGACTTGATTGTGGGTTAGAAAGGAGAACAGGTGAGATTTCAGGTGGGTTGAAGGGTTTTGGCGCCAGAGAGAGAAAATATTTCAAGAATGGGTGGATAAAAGAATATGTGCCATAAAGCATTTAGCAGAGACAGAAGAGACCCAGTGACAGTGTAAAGCTTAGTTCTGGTCATTTTCACAAATATTTATTGAGCTCCAATCATGTGCCAGATACTGTGTTAAAGATCTGAGGATACAAAGATGTGGATGCAGCTCTTATGAGCTACTCTTAGGAGACAGAGTAGTAAAACATAATTTTAGTCTAATGTGATAGGAAGATAAAAAGATATACAGGGAATTTATTTAATACTGAGGGTGAAATGACTAAGTCTGGGGAATCAGAGAAGGTTTCAGAGAAGACCTGACATCCAATCAAGATGTTAAAGGTTGAATAGGAGTTTGCCATGGGGGTTTCAAATGCAGGGAACAGCATTGACTAAGGCACAGATGCAGGGAACAGCCCACTGTGTTGTTCAGGAGTGCTGTAGCACATAGAAGGGAGGTAACTTATGGGGGAAAAAGAAGAGAAGGAAGCAATGGACCTTCAGATCACCAAGGGTCTTTCTCACAGTGCCCGGGAACTTGGGATTTAACATGTACACCTATGAATCTCTCCGAGTTTCAACTCCCCAGTAGAGAAAAGAAGCCGCCCCACACTGGAAGGCATTGTAGATTTGAATACAACCTACAAACTGCCTTCCAGAAAGATTCCAATGCATGCTCTCTTCAAGGAAAAACAACTGGTGATAGGAAGGCATTGAAGGATTTGAAGACGAGCCTGGTGAGATTCATACTTTCAATCCTTCCAGAAACTGTGTGAAGGATACAGTTGAAGGGGTCAGGATCCAAGGTGAACAGGATGTTCAGGAGAGATGGTGACTGGTCAGAAATACTGAAGGTGTAAGTGAGACAGTTGAGCTAGCAGAGTAGAGACATACTGGAGAGAGAATGCTAAGCTAAAAACAAATGTTAGAAATTGGAACTTGGTTGGATGCAGATGGCAGGGGAGAAATAAGAGAGTAGCATGATTCCTAGGTTTCTGACTTGGGATCCCCAAGCTATGGAATTCTGGAGGTGCAGGCTGTGTGGTTGGAGGGTGAAGTGGGGGAGTTGGGAGACAGTCATGTAATTTCACTCTGGATCATGGGCTTTGCTGTGCCTGTAGGAAGGTTGTCAGATGTAGATATCCAGTGGGAAGAGCTCAAATCTGAAATATCAGGTAAAGTTCATCTTTAGGAAAAATAGATTTAGGAAGTGGCCTTTAATATGCTCTGGACAGGTGTAGCAGGTTAGGGCAAAGCTACAAGGATTAGGAGGTGATGCTGATCTTAAGCATCTTAGGAGAAGGGGGATGTTGACTGCCATCTTTTCCCCCACACAGTTCTTCACATGCGGAGGGTCTTCAATAACTATTTGTGTATTTTACTAGTTAGTGAAAAAATGAAGGCCAGAAACTATGGGTGGTCACTTGATTCCCTCCAAGTTTCTTGGCATAATCAAGTCGGGAGTCATGGATGACAAGTGAAATGATACTGACCTGTTTTCCAGCATGGGTCAGTAAGATGCAAGCTCTCATGGCTGCCGCAAGCATTGGCCAAACTAAAATCCCCAGAGGAAATGGATCTTATTCCGTCGGTTGTACAGACTTGATGTTTAATTACACTAATAAGGTAATGTTTTAATACCATTTATCCTTACATTCTAATATTGACTGTGGCTATGGTCCATGAGAAGGTTTTGAAAACTGACCCTGCTCTCAGCTGAGAATTACTCATTTTGTCACTGGTATGATTTCATGGCAAGCCTTTGGCTGGTGAAGCCATTCCTCGGGTCACTGCCGTCTGCAGATTAACTTATCTATAAACACAGTTTTCCTCCCTTCTCTAATGTCTGAAACCAGGCTGCTTATACTTTCTTTTCATTCAAAAAGCATACTGTTCTATTTCTGTTCCTTTTGACTATATTTAGTCACCATGGCAACTTATCAAAAAAAGCTCTCTGGACCTCTTCACGCACAACAGAGGTATTTGGGTCCCTACTAATTAAATATGCAAAATAGCTCTTGGAATAGGTTTGAGAAGCAACTTGACTAAATGCACATTCATTTCCTTCCTCTACAGGGCACCTTCTTGCGTTTGTATTATCCATCTCAAGATGATGGTCACTCTGACACCGTTTGGATCCCAAACAAAGAATATTTTTGGGGTCTTAGTAAATTTCTTGGAACACACTGGCTTGTGGGCAAAATTATGAACTTATTCTTTGGTAAGATTTCCATTGATCCTGCTTTGTAAGCTCTAGACTATAAGGAAAGCTTGAAAACAGCAAGAGTTTCAGGCAGTTAAAGGCCAAAGTAGATTGCCTCCAGTCCAAACATCTCCTAAGATAACAAAGTATTTCTTAAAAGACCAGGTAACTATCAGAGAATCAAGGGTTTTGTCTGTTCTGAATAGGACAGGGTGGGTGGAGGGAGAGAAGGTATCAGACTTTCAGACAGGCTCTAACATCTTTCTGTGGGTGGTCAGATTTTTTCTTCTGCCATTCTCTGTGGGGGCAATAATGTGATAAGAACAGCAGCTGGGCTGGTGTGACCTCTGCCTTCTATACTATGTGCTGAAGTGTATTTACAGTTGGGCAAAGAGAGAAAGAAGGCAGAAGCCACCATACTGCTCCATATCCTAAACCAAGGAGTGAAAGCTAATTTCCTATTTATCATAAATGAGGAAACTCCACTCTCATTCCCATAACCACCCCCAAGGGGCCAGCCTCTCTCACTAAGACAATCCGATGTGCACCCATCACTTAGTATGTCTACATTTCATTAATATTGGCTTTTGTCCTTCTTTATCTGTCTCACCAGATACTACTCTTGACCTGGTGTTAACTATATCTTCACATTTCCCCCTCAAAACTACCTACACCTTTTGGCATTCATTTTAAACGTCTCCTTGGAGTTTTCTTAATAGCCCACTTTATATGAGAAATGATGAACATAATTACTCGTCTTTATGATGCTGAATAGTTTATAGGTCACTGCTATAGCAATCATTACATTCGATTTCCGTGGGCACATCTCCATTGTGTTGATGAGAAAGTGGAACACAAATAATTGATGATAATGATGACCGTAATAAGTGAGAAGTGAAGGAAAAGACCATATCCTCCATTTTGAGCCCTTTACTATGTGACTGGATAGGTGTGCTTTACATATTGTTGTTCAGTCGCTAAGTCATGTCTGGCTCTTTGCGACCCCATGGACTGCAGCACAACAGGCTTCCCTGTCCTCCACTGTTTCCCGGAGTTTGCCCAAATTCATGTCAGTTGAGTCAGTGATGCTATCTTCGTATATTCCCACTTAAATATGATTCTCACTAAACCCCCATGAGGGAGCTATATTTTCCTTCATTTTACCGAAGAAGACTCGAGGCTCAGAGAGTTCTCTTGACCTGCACAAGGTCAGCAGCTCCTCAGTGGCAGAACTTCATCCAAAGCCACATCTGAGGGTGAAGTCTAAGGTCTCTCCATCTTTCTCTTGACCTTGATCAAATTAGAGTGGGAGGAGTTTCCCATTTGAAGATTCTGAATCTCAGTATAGTACTCCTGAGGTTTACTGGTTGTTTGGTTTCAGAACATTTCCTTTGAAGTTTTGCCAAGATCTGGGATTGATGATAAGGAGCAGCCTTCCTGAATGCACCTCTCAGTAGGAAATGTCTCACCTCAAGTTCAGAGCTGACAGTGAGGACTGATAATTCATGATCCTATGGTCTTAAGAAAAAAACAAGTGGTTCGTGCCCATGCTTGATGGTATCTAGTAGGAGGCTTTTTTTTTTTTTACATGAATTTACTATTGATGCATAAAAGAATAAATTCCATGGGTCAGGTTTTTATACTCAAGAGATGGAAGTTAAATTAACCAGCGATATTCAAGTCAGAAAAAGACACTAATTATCATCTCCCACTGCTCTCTAGGTTCAATAACAACTCCTGCAGCCTGGAATGCACCTCTGAGGACTGGGGAAAAATATCCACTAATTATTTTTTCTCATGGTCTTGGAGCATTCAGGTAAAGTGTCAAGAGGCTGAACAATTTTAGCCTCTAGGGATCAATCACTGAATGCATCCCCCCTCAAAAAAAAAAAAAAAAGGGACAGCAGATTTTGGAGTGTCAGGCTGATCCTTGTCCTGGGAGGACTTGGAGTTCCTTCAGAATTAGCTGTGATCTACTAATCAATCCTTAGCCCTGTCTTTTCCTGCCTCCAGCCCATGGAGACCAGCCTCACAACAGAGGAGAGGCGTGGTTGCAATTTGGGTGGTTGTCTTTCTATATAACAGTATTTACACTCTCAAAATCATTCACTGTATTAGTTCAGGTTCTCCAAGAAATAGACACCATGATTAGATTAGCCGTGAAACGTATGTATTGGGAAATGCCCATGAAGGACAGGGGGGAAGGAGCAGAGAAGATGGGGAGAGATTTTAGCCTATGATGCAGACTGGACAGTTGAGAAGGAGATGGGAAACAGAAGGACTGGGTATGAAGGGTATGAATGTGGTACAGTTCTAAGAAAAACTGGGCCAGGCTGATGGAGGGAGTGCTTGACCAAGATTAGCTCATCAGAGTTCTGCATCTCATAGGAAAGGACCTATGGTAAACACATGCCACGTTCTGTCACTGGAACCAACCTACAGGAAGACTTGCTTTTACTTGACCCACTAGGGCAGGAGCTGGGTGGGCTCTTTAGTCAACTATGGTCTCTGGATCATGACAGGTAGCATGTTTTCATGGCCACCACCCCATCTACTTTTTTTCAACATTTTCTCAACTCCCTTCCTGTCTTCTGACTCAGGTTTATAAGAATTTTAGAAAAGAAAAAGTGGCTTTTAGCTGGTAAAAAAAAAAAAATCAGGTATCATCTGCAATGAGAAATTTTCACTTGTTTAATTGTAGCCCAACTAGTTATTTGATTCCTATGAGACCAATGATTGGCATCTTAGACTCTGAGGACCATATTCAGCCTGCTGCCTGCATCTGTGTATAAGGTTTTATTGAAACACCAGCCACTCTCATTTACTTCCCCCATTGTCTCTTCTAGTTTGGTGCTACAGCAGCAGAACTGAGTCTGAGACAAATAACGTAAGGCCCACAGAGCTGGGAGCAATTACTCTCTGGCTTTTTACAGAAAAGGTTTTGCTGATCCCCTGTATTAGATGATTTTCCCTTCATGAGTTGGTCTTGCATCATCAGTAGAAAACATGATACTCACCTACCTCCTTTTTGTTCTTTATGGCCATTTACTATGGAATACATAATAGGCAGGAGGAGTTCCCTTTTGATCCAGTGGTTAAGACTTTGCCTTCAAATCCTGGGGGTGCAAGTTCAATCCCTGGTCAGGGAGTTAAGATCCCACACACCTTGAAACCCAAACAAAACAAAGCAAAAAACAGAGGCAATATTATAATGAATTCAATAAAGACTTTAAAAATGGTTCATGTCAAGAAAAAAAAAAGAATACATGATAGGAGAAGAAGATTGTGCAGAACCAAGATGTGGAAGGGATTATAAATGTAGTTGCTTATTAGCACATGACTTGTCAACCATCTCACCCTGTCTAGTCATTTACCTAACAGCTGACTTGTGTTTGGTATTTCCACTGTTTTAGACATGGTTATAAGCACTGAACATGTGTTAACTTACTAAATCTTTATAATAATCCCACCAGGTCCCAGATGTTATAACATCACCCTTCTGCAGGTAAAGAACCAAGGCAGAGAGAAGTGATTTATCCCAGGTAGACAGCTAGTAAGTGAAGGAGCCAGGATCCAATAACCTGCAGTGGTCAGAGTGTAGATCCTGTTGTCTTAAGCATCACATTGTACCACCTGCCTGTTACGTGTTTTCTTATCAGAACCTAATAACTGGGACTTCCCTGGTGGTCCTGTGGTTAAGACTCTGTGCTTCCAATAGGGGCGTGAGTTCAATCCCTGGTCAGGGAACTAAGGTCCCCATGCCACTTGGTGTGGCCAAAAACTGAAAGAAAAAAAAAAAAACCAACCAAAAGACCTTATAATTCTTCTAAAGCTAAGACTTTATTATCTGTCCCCACCGAAAAGAAAAAAAAGAAATGGAGTAATGTAATTATTTAAAGTCATATAACTGGAAACAGGCAGAGCCAAGATTTAAACCCAGAACTCTCGAAGGCAATATTTATAACCACTGCACCAGTGTTTCTCAGCCTTGGTACCCTGGATGCTTTGGACTGGATCATTTCCTGTTGTGGAGGTAGACCTGTGCATCAGATAATGGTTTTAGCAGTATCTCTGTACCCACTGGATGGCAGTAATATACCCCCTACTCCTGATTATGAAAATGCCTCCAGACATTGTCAAATGTCCCCAGAGGACTAAAATCAGCCCCCTGTGAGAACCACAGCCCTCTGCTTTACCCCAGGGCACTCCTACAGGGATATAATTACCTCCCAATTCCCAGGTTTCATTTGTGGATCCCTTGTAATTGTGACTGGTAGTTCACATGAGCTTCTCTCATTTTTGTTTTGAAGGACGATTTATTCTGCTATTGGCATTGATCTGGCGTCCCACGGGTTTATAGTTGCTGCTGTAGAACACAGGTACGTCACTTGGTATGTGGCTGAGCTCTGCCTTTCTTAAAGGTTTATACAAAGTACTGTCAGAGGGAATTCCTTGGTGGTGCAGTGGTTAGGACCCATTCTCACTGTCAAGGACCTGTGTTCAGTCCCTGGTTGCGGAACTAAAATCCTATACTCTGTGCCACTCAGCAGGTAAACAAAATATTGATAGAATTGTCAACTACGGTTACCCATGACTGAGAAAAAAAGGAGACTTTTTCCTAAAATCTACGAATTAGATTGTCATGTATATAAAAAAACAGCTAACATTTCTAGAGTTCGTGTTCATATACCATCATTGAGTTCATCCTTGTGGTCACTGAGTGTCGTGTTCATATATCATCTCATTTAATCTTCATAACAATCCTTTAAGATGTTATTATCACTGTTTCATGGGAGGCAGAATATGAAGCTGAAGAAGGGTAATTTGCCCCAAACTACACAGCTAGTAAGTGGTGGTGCTGGGATCTGATTCGGGAGAGAGTGTTCAATTCTAGGGTCTCCCAGAATTGTGCAGACAGAGTGCCTTCTTTATAGGCAACAATGTCTTTTTCTCGGGACTCCCTTGGGGGCCTCTTTGATTTAAAAAAAAAAATGTAGAGTGGAAGAAGGGAAATCAGAAAGAGTCAAGGATGGGCGTGAGGAACACGAGTGATGTAAGGCACTGACTCTGTTTGCATTACAGAGATGGCTCCGCATGCTCGACGTACTATTTCAAGGACCAGCCTGCTGCAGAAATAGGCAGCAAGTCTTGGCTCTATCTCAGAACCGTAAAGCGAGGGGAGGAGGAGTTTCCTTTACGAAATGAGCAGGTACGTTGCAGGAAGAGGAGAGGTGGCGTGTTGACCAAAAAGCATAGGCAAAATGATGACATTTGTTCATTTCTTTATTTTACATAGGGCAGACTGTGTCCCTGGGTCTCCTTACTTCCCATTCCCAAAAGATATGTCAGAAGATTCTCTGAGTAATCAAATTCTCTTAATGAAATATCTGGATCACAGTAAGAGCAAAGACCAACATGAAAATCCTAGGAGATGACTGAATATTCAGAATTCTTTTGTGTTAGAACTAAAGTCTACTTTTCACTGAGGTGATAGAGAATATCATTAAGAGTTCAAGCCTTAGAATGCAACTTTCTTTGTTTGAATCCTGATGCCATCACTCTGCAGTGTAGTGGGGTTATCTTGGACAAGTTACTTCTTCTTTTTGTTTTGTTTCCATGTTTTATCTGTTATGAAATAATGAACATCTTATATGAGGCTTTGAAATAAAGTGAAATAAATAAATAAATAATAGGTGAAATAAATAAATAAAGTGAAATAAAGCATGTTATTTTCTACCTCTGTGCCAAGCTTTATGGCTTCCCAAGTGGCTCAATGGTAAAGAATTCACCTGCAATACAGGAGACCCGGGTTTGACCCCTGGGTTGGGAAGATCCCTTGGAGAAGGAAGTGACAGCTCACTCCAGTGTTCTTGCCTGGGAAATCCCATGGACTGGTGGGCTACAGTCCAGGGAGTCACAAAAGAGTTGGACACGACTGAGCAACTAAACAACAAGCCAAGCTTTATAGTGGGTGCTTTTTACATGTATTATTACATTTAATCCCACCTGCATTTCACTGAGGTGGACATTATTATACAGTAAATGAAAGCTCAGAGAGGTTAAGCAAATCCTCTGAGGTCACACAGTGGGTAAGCAACAGAGCCAGGATTTGGACTAAGCGATAACTACCTGCAAAGCTGGTGCCAAGGTCATTATGCTAGGTTGTGTTCTAAGAGACCCAATTTTTTCCCCCATTTTTTCCATTTTCTCACCCTCTACACAAACTTTAAGTGTTACAACTTTTTACTTTGTCATGTCCCTCTTCTAATCATCCTATTAGGTTCGGCAACGAGCGAAGGAGTGTTCTCAAGCTCTCAGTTTGATTCTGGACATTGATCATGGGAGGCCAGTGACGAATGTATTAGATTTAGAGTTTGATGTGGAAGAGCTGAAGGTGAGCTTAAAAAAAAAATTCATTTTCCTTTGGCCTGGACTTCTTTATTGCTCTTATTATTGTCTGTTTTACTGCTGTAATACAAGGTACAACATGATAAAGGGCTGCAAAAAAAAAAAAAAAGTCCTGGGACAGTATTCCAACAGTGAGAAATGCATTAGGTTGAACTACATATATAATTGCCACCAGCCACTTTTGATCTACAAAAAAAGAATGATAATTTCATATGTTCAATATAATATAACCAGTGGAAGTATTGTAATTTCTTGGGCAGCTCCTGCATGTTTTTGAGCAAGGGAACAAACTAAGATGATGGTCTGTCCTCTAGACTGTGAGTCGTTTGTGTAACTCAACTGGCCACTCTCCTATCTCCATGGCTTTGGACGTGTGGTTCTGTTAGTCTGACTCCCCGTCCTCCTGACTCAGACCTGCTTAATCATCAACCTAAGTCAGGCATCTCCTTATCCATGAAGCTTGCCTGGGCCCCACTGCCCATCTGGACTGGGATAGCCATCTATCACACATGCTCCTTAGCACCACCTTACCTCATCTGCGTTGTGTATCTGTAACTCCTTCCCCAGTAGACTAGGAACTCGTGGGACATGAACTGCAGTGCCTGGCGCAGAGCAGGTGTTCAATAAATACGCAGAGAATGGACAGACTAATGAATGTGAAGTGCGGGACGGGGAGTGATTAGCAATGACATTGATGTTGCAAGTGTGCGTATGAAGAAAGCCAAGAAGTTCACTTCTTTGTTTATTTGAGGTTTTTGCTTGTTTTTGTTTTGGTCCTGAAACCAAAGAAGTTTCTCTCTATATATAGATAAAACATATATATATGTTTTATAAGTATATATATGTTTTATAAATATTATAAGTGTATATATATATAGAAAACATTTGTTTTGTATAGAAATGTTTGTGTGTATATATATATATATAGGCATGTATGTATACATACATATGTGTGTGTATATATATGTGTGTATGCGTGTATATATGGGTGTGTGGGTGCATGTGAGTGTCTATATATTTCTTTTCTAAGAATCAAGGTACTTAACCATCCCTGTGAAATAATAATCTTGTGATTCACAAAATCTCTGCCTGTCCTCTGAACAGCCTTTGAGATACTTATGCATTTATATCATGCTTCTTTCACATAGGACTCTATTGATAGGGATAAAATAGCAGTTATTGGACATTCTTTTGGTGGAGCCACAGTTATTCAGACTCTTAGTGAAGACCAGAGATTCAGGTAAGAGAATAAGGCTGAGAGAGAGAATGCTAAGTGATTGGAAGAGGGGGAAGTGATAACACATGTGCTATAGAACATAGCCAGTTCTTAGGGAGGAAGAGATCTTTTGGAGTTCACAAGTCCATTCTTTTGCCTCCATAAAATCCTTCATATGAGTTTTCCTAAACAGAAACATCTACTTTTGCTATTGAAAATTCTTCCCACCTCTGTTTTTCCTCATTTATATTTATCTGTTCAAGGGCTTATCATTTTCATTTGGAAATTTATCTTTACATATACATATTATCTGTGACATAATGATTGTAATAATAATGTTGTCATCTTATACTATTTTCTAGATTCCGCAATAGGCAGGGCATTTAAATAAATTGTTTTACATTTAATCTATTTACAGCAACTCACATTTGCACTATCTCAGCTCCAGGTTTTCACACATGAAATTTTTACCGAGAACATACCACCTACTTCCAAACTTTGATTCCTTGGATCTCAGCTTTGACATCCTTTTCTCCCAGAAGCTGACTCCAATTCTATGTTAGATGAGCAGGGCATTTTTAAATTATTTTTTTTCCATCTTTAAGATTGAGCATGGGCTAAAATTACATAACTACTGGGGTGGCAGTCAGGATCTCAGTCTTCTAACTTGAAGGAACATTTTCTTTCTTGAACCACTTCATCCAAAACTGATGAGATCACGTAGAATTGACCATGTAGAAAGTAGGTAGGATCATTCATGAAATTTTAGCTAACATTTCTTCTTATGCTATTTCAACATAAGAAGATTCTCTTCTTTCATCCATTTAGCACATAAAATAGAGTCTCTAAAAGGCCAAGAAACATTAGATAACTTAACTTAAAAAAATGAATTACATTTTCAAATTATATACTACATATGCTTTTCTTCAACTCTCCCAGGGAAGTATCTTTACACTAAAGGAATGGGTCTAACTGTTACTCAGAAAGGTATAATGATAATGAGTACATGCCAGGGTCCAGAAGGACTAGAAAGACAGGCGCAATAGTGCATAGACTGTATCTTTTCAGGCACCCCATAATTCTATTGAATTACTTATTTTAAAATTTATCTTGAAGGATGACAAAAAATTTTAAATGTTTCTAAAGGTTGTAATTCTCAAATGCCTCCTAAAGAAAATGGTGATATAATTATAAGTTTGCTGCCTTGCAAAGCTAATGATATCCCCTTCCCACATTGAAGGGTAATACCTCTTCTGCCCAGTGAGATCACCCATAATAATGAACTGGTGAGGTGTTTGTCTCTGAATCTCTGTGATATTAGAAATCCCTATATTCGGGCAGTATGTAACCAGCCTTCTTCCATCAGGTGTGGCATCGCTCTGGATGCATGGATGCTTCCCATGGGTGATGAAGTATTTTCCAGAATTCCTCAACCCCTCTTTTTTATCAACTCGGAACGATTCCAATATCCTTCTAATATCATAAGAATGAAAAAATGCTTCTTACCTGATAGGGAACGAAAAATGATTACAATCAAGTAAGTATCAGTAAGTGACATTACATCATCTGAAATGGAAACCTGAAACTTGGATAAACAATCAGTGAATATCATTGAGTAGCTAGTCTAGAATTCTTCAGTTTGTTGTTTAGACTTGGAATAAGGGAGACTATTAGGTAATCTCAGTTTCCAAGTGCATTTAGACTTCTCTTTTTAAAATGCGCTGTTTTGAGTAGTGTTTGTATATATAGCACATGCAATAATTAAAATTTGCATCAGGATGCATGCTACTTCTATCTGAATATAAGCCTAAACATTTTTAGGACTGGGGTAAGGGGAAGTATTCCATCATTAGGCTAGGCTTAGAACATTTTTTTTTCCCCCTAAAGTAAAATGATCTGCTGAAATCTGCAGTGTGTTTACTCGTTTGGTAAGTATATGAATTTATTAATTCCCAAAGCTATAATGGGATCCCTTTGAGGGCTGACAATATACTTACATCATGGATAAAAAAGAATTCCCATAGGGTTTTGAACTTGTAGTAAGATGTTACAAAAACTGAGTTTCTTCTGCTTCTGTCTGAAGCCTGATTTCCTTAGAAGGGCAGAGAAGAGGCAGCGGGAAGTAAACGCACCATAAAGGCAATGAACACTCTGGAGTCAGAGAATGGAGGGCTCTTTTCTAAATGACAGTGAAAGTGTTAGTTGCTCAATCATGTCTGACTCTTAGAGACCCTAAGGACTGTAGATCGCCAGGCTCCCTTGTCCACGGAATTCTCCAGGCTAGAATACTAGAGTGGGTAGCCATTCCCTTCTCCAGAGGATCTTCTCAACCCAGGAACCAAACTTGGATCTCCCCTTTGCAGGCAGATTCTTTACAGTCTTTGAGCCACCAAGTAAGGTGCTCATAAAAGGCTGCTTAGAAGAAATGGTGGTACAGTTGGGTCTTAAAGAATCAAAAGACTTTAGATAGATGGTGAGAAAGGACCTAGATATTTAAGGTAAGGATGTCAATTTAGCTTATTGGTATATGCAAGTCTATTTAATTCTAAGTCTAATTTAGACGTTAAAGTCTAATAAGACTTTAAGTCTCTACTTAAAGTCTAAGTAGAGAATACTCAACCTTCCTTACTAGGCTATCACTCTGTTTTTTCCCTTCTCTGCTTCCCTGTCCTGACTTCCATTTACTCTGACTTCTGCAGTCTGTCTTCCTGACCTTGGCAGTGAGCTGAAGCTGGCCCCACTAAGGATACAGATGGCCCAGTTGCTATTGGCAGCCTCAGCCCTTCTCTCTGCATCCCTCCCACCTGTGGACTAACCCCATTTCTCCTCCCTTGGGTACCCCAACCGCATTCTCTCGCGCTTCTCACATCCTGTAGACGGCTCCCTTCTTTTCTCCTCTACGCTCTTTTTCTTCAGGCCATCTCTCCACTGTGGGTGGCATTCAGGGTTCTGCCTTCAGGTATATCTCGTGGCCCTGACTCTGTTTACCTTCTCTCGACTCTTGACTCGAAGTCTGGATTGGAATGTGGGAAACAGTGAGCAGAGTTCTGGGCTCTATTTGGGGTAGAGGTAACTAAAATAATAGGAGTTTGCTTAAAAGTAGCAAAGTAAAGAGGAAGAATGACATTGGGTGGGGCTGGAAAGGTGTTTTTTGTTCTGTTCTGTTTTTTATATTTTCTTGGCTGCACCACATAACACGTGAGATCTTAGTTCCTGGATCAAACTCGCGCCCCTTGCATTGGAAGCAAGGCGTCTTAACCACTGGACCACCAGGGGAGTCCCTGGAACGGGTGTGCTTTAACCTTTAGATATATGTGTCTGGCCACAAATTGGAAAAGTGTAGAATTTATATGCAATGTATTATCAATGAAATCTATGGAGGAGCTGAGACTGCAAAGTGAGAAAAGAACTGATCTGAAAATAGCATCTTGAGGATTTGGGGGACGAGCCAGTCAAGAACAGAGTAGTTCAGGCAAAGGAGGAAGTAAAGCACGGAAAATAATGCAAGAAAATCAAATGTCAAATGCCCAGAGACAGTAAAAACCGCGCATTAAAAGTGGCTGTTCTGTTTGATGTCGGAAAGTGAAAGTCGCTCAGTTCTGTCTGACTCTTTGCAACCCCATGGACTGTACAGTCCATGGAATTCTGCAGGCTGGAATACTGGAGAGGATAGCCTTTCCTTCTCCAGGGGATCTTCCCAACCCAGGGATTGAATCCCGGTCTCCCGCATTGCGGGCAGATTCTTTACCAGCTGAGCCACAAGTTCATCAATTAGCAACATTTATGAGCTGCTTTGCAGTTTAAATAATACAAAGCAAAATTTTGCTTGTCTTTTAATCTACTTAATCTAAGGCTGAAATACAAAGTGTTTTGTTTAACAGCAAATTGAGATCCAGTTAAGTGTGGTGGTAAGGGAGCAGGATTCTGGCTCTGGGTTTAAAGACCCTCAACATAAAAAACATTCCATCTACTCAAATCAGAAGTGACCTACAAAGCAAGAATCATCTCTTCTAAAACCAAGATGCCAAGCAAGACAGGAATCTTTGCCTTGTTTGTCGGGAGGGAAGGATGCCTACATACTTGTATGCATACTAAGTTGCTCAGTCATGTCCGACTCTTTGCAACCTCATGGGCTGTAGCCCACCAGGCTCCTCTCTCCATGGGATTCTAAAGGCAAGAATACTGGAGTGGGCTGTCAAGCCCTCCTCCAGGGGATCTTCCAGACCCAGGGACTGAACCCCCGTCTGTCCCCTGCATTGGCAGGCGGGTTCTTTACCACTAGAACCACCTCTCCTACCCCTAAATGAACAGTCTTGTGACCCTTGAGTACACCGAGGGAGATCAGATTTACCAGTTTTGTTTCCTTGGTTTTTGGCCAGCATCTTTCCTGCACCTTAACTACAAAAATAATATTGTCTAACAAAGTGATTTGCAGATAACTCCTTTCTCTTTCAGGGGTGCAGTCCATCAGAATTTTGTTGACTTCACTTTTGTCACTAGCAAAATGATTGGCTACCTATTCACACTGAAAGGACACATCGATTCCAATGTAGCCATCAGCCTTAGCAACAAAGCTTCCCTAGCATTCTTACAAAAACATTTAGGTAAGATACGGCATCTTCTTTCCTGACACAGACCGGATGATTCTCAGGACAAAACTATCTTAACTCATGTGCATGTGCTCAGTCATGTATGACTCTTTGCGATCCTGTGGACTCTAGCCCACCAGGCTCCTCTGTCCATGGGGATTCTCCAGGCAAGAATACTGGAGTGGGTTGCCATGCCCTCTTCCAGGGGATCTTCCCAACCCAGAAGACCACACTTGGGTCTCTTGCATTGGCAGGCGGGTTGTTGTGTCTTTTTTTAACCACTGAGCCACCTGGGAAGCCCTATCTTAACTTAGGGCAAGTCCTATTTTAAGGGTTCCCAGTTGGTTTACAATGTAACAGTGCAATCAGTTTGAAAACAATTTAAATTTGCTGTTTTGTGTACTGTCATAGGCAGCAAGCCTTCCTGTCAGAGCTAACAGTATTTCAGTGAAGCCGGGGGATAATTTCCATGCTCAGACAGCACCAGGCCTCAATCCTCTCATTCAGATGTTGCAGCTATCCCGTGCTCTTAGAGGGTTTGTGATTCCTTAATCCTGACGTGGTGTATGTGGTTTGTGAGGCTAGGATGCCCCCTAGAGGCACTGAGCTGTTTAATGCTCTCAAAAGTTGACTATGTTTATGACGTTTCTATCTTACAGGACTTCAGAAAGATTTTGATCAGTGGGATTCTTTAGTTGAAGGCGAAGATGACAATCTTATTCCAGGGACCAACATTGACACAACCAACCACGAAGCCACTCTGCAGAACTCCACAGGAATAGAGAGACCAAATTTAGACTAAAAGAGCTTTTTAAAAAGTTTTGTTTACAAACGTGTCTAAAAGTGTGTGTGTGTGTGTGATTTTAATGTATTTTCTCAAATAGCTCATATTAAAAAAATGTAGGCTACACCACAGTAGTGACTGAAGCTTGTATTAAGTTTTTTTCCCCTATAAATTTAGAAAAAGACAGCTACATATGAAAATCATAGCAGCCTAAATTTTAGTTTTACTAAAGTGATTCTTTTTCACAGTAAAAAAACTGATTTTACATTGGCTCAACAGACACACATAATAAAATAGGCACAATGCCACTGAAAATGTGTCACAGTGACCTAACACTCTTAAAAATATAATAAAAACAGATTTTCTTGCCTCTTTTTTTCTGTTATAGGCTATAGAATTGACTTTTAGCATCATGGTCTGCTATGTAGGATTTGGCAGCGCTTCCATTTGACCTTGGGTCACAGTAAAAAAGTAGACCAAGTGGATAATAAAGCCATTGCTTTACCGTGGAATTAGTGCTAGGGCACAATTTCAATATGATGACCACACAGGAATGGATGCTGGTGACAAAACAAAGGCAGCAGATTAAAGCAAGTTGGTAATTTGTTTGCGTTTACTTTGTTTACCTCAGACACACTCTGTTTACTAAAGAAAGGTGCATATGAGTGGCCCTCGATTCAAGCCATCACACATAAAATTACTGATTCACCCAAAGGCTGCGAAGGATAAAAAGGGAGAGAATTATAGGTGTGTGTATGGCTGATACATTTTGCTGTCCAGTAGAAATTAACACAGCACTATACTCCAATAAAAATTAATTAAAAACATGAAAACAGGGAAAGTGGAAAAAGAAAGATTGAGTCAACTTTAAAGAAATTCCAGTTTTGCTAACTTAAAAAGAAAAGGCCATAATTTTTACTGCTTCATTTTCCATGAGTTTTCTTTAATGAATCTTAAATTTTATATGGAGGAGTGAAAGGAGAAAAATATAATAAATGGAGGTAAAAAGATCACTGAAAGATGTGTACACTTACGCCTCTGGGAGTCATGAAAAATGTGTTTTGTTTCCCAAGCAGTATAAACACTTCTGCCACTCATCAGTCAAACATATTTGGGTCTAAGAATGGTCTTGTTCCTATGAATGCTTCATAATGAACTTTCATGAAAGTCAGTGAGAACAAGGATAATCAGTACTTAGTAAACAAGCCTGGTTAACTACTCTATGCCTATTTCTTTTGCCTTAACAAGTAACTGCGTTTTCTGATTTGGCACTCAGGCCTACCTTAATGTTTTAATGTGCAAAATCACTCATTTTGAGAAATATGATTTCTCCTATAACTGTTCAGAGTAAATATTTTTAAATGAAGAGTTAAATTCTTTATCATGAAACTGATGGCTTTCTATAATCTGGCCTTCATACATCTTCTCTGACCTTTGCTCCCAGGAATTAATTCACAACTACAACTCCTATATGAATGAGCCAAATTTGTCTATTCATTATCCTAGGAACAAGCAATATACTCATCTACTTCAATTATGCTTAATGTAAAACCCGCTCCTTTTTTACTTATTGAAATTCCCCAACTTTTAAGGTTTTTAATTCTCTCATCAGGCTTCAGAGTTCTCATAACGTTTCATACACATCTTTTTAGAAATGGACCACCATTTCAATAGAACTGATGTTCCATTCAATAGCACCTCTTTAAAATCCTGTTTGTGGCATATGCTGATGCGAAACAATCCAATAAAGTTTAAAAAATATAACCTACCATAGTGCATACTGAGCCTCTTTCAGGGAAAAGAAATGTTTATCAAATGCCTACTCCTTTTCTGGCACATTATTTATTTCTAATCTTAAAAACACTGCAAGAAAAGTTTTATTATCCCCATTTTACGGCTGAGGAAGATCAAGGCTGAACAATAATATAGTAACCTGCCCAGGTCACATATCTAGTAGGCCGTGTACAGGTAAGATCTATTTCCTAACGTTAGAATCTGTTTGCATGCTGCCACCTATGGAAAGCCTTGTTTTAAAAGCATGGGCTTTGAAATTAGATGGGTCTAGGTTTGCTCAAGCCTCTGAGATTTGCTAGCTCTTTGACAGGCAAATTAGTTATCTTCTCTGAAAAGCTTCAACTTTCTCACCTATAAAATATGGGTAATGTTAATATGCACCTGAGAATCAAGGATTACATGCAAAACATACATTGAAAGTACAGCTGAGGGACGAACACATGAAAGCTAACATTTACTATTACTCTGTATCCCCCAACTGTAGAATTGTGGTTTGTTCCATGACCACAGACTTCCTTTTTTTTTCCTTCTTTCAGCTGCAGTGTGGCATGCAGGATCTTAGGTCCTCAGGAATTGAACCCCTGCCCCCTGCAGTGGAAACTCAGAGTCTTAACCACTGAACTGCCCAGGAAGTCCCAGATATTTTCTTTTTAATGAAATGAAATTATACTTTTAAGGACAAACTTTATTTAAATCTTGTGTCATATCAGTATACTTCTAAATTCAAAGAGAGAATCAGTCAAAACTAGAACAGCAAAGCTTCAGAAACAAAACAAAAATTTTGAAGGCGTTACTGCTAACAAAGCCATCCCCCCAAGTAGCATCATATACTATGCTTTTCAGAAACCTGTAATTTTCTATTTTAAACTGTTATTCAGAAGAAACCAAAATACTCCTTTTTTTTTTTTTTTTGCAATGTGAGTAATGTGTTCGCAAACTGTTTAGCCAAATAAATCCTCCAAACTGATTAGAAAGATGACACATTTAAAGGGAGAGGAAACATCTCAACTCCAAATATACAGAAACAGCACTATAAATACACCACACAGGCAGTCTGAGATTTGTTTTGTTTTCAACACAAAATTTTCAAAAATGACAATTTCTTGTCTTTACACGCTCTCAATTTTCTCAAATATTTTTGTTGGTCTGGTTGAGATGGCACTTATTTCAGAGCAGCTTTGAACTGACTGACCACACTTATAGATCCACAGTTAAATCTGTCATCTCCAGGCCTCTTTTCTGAAACAAAAAGAGAAAAACCTCAGGTTGAGAAAGAAATGTAAAAATAAGAAAAAAAAAATTGGGGGGGTGGTGTAGGGGGGAATGTGTTGTGGCTTACAGAATCTTAGTTCCCTGATCAAAGATTGAACCCATGTCCCCTGCAGTGGAAGGATGGAGTCCTAAACTCTGAACCAATAGGGAGTGCCCAAGAAAAATCCATGTCCTTTAAAAATGGGGAGAGGGAATAGATGTGTATTCTAATTACTACAGGGAATTATTCCTACAGATATGATTTTTAAAAAACTATTTTAGTCCTCACACTGTATCTATTATCATACAAAGTTTCTCTAAAAGATTATGAAATTGGCATATTTTATATTTTACTAGGGTGATGTTGGCAAATAGTTCTTTGTTCTCTTTCATTAGTGCATACTTTCACATAACACTAAAGTCATCAAGAGCTGATTTCATTCTCCACATGCCTCAATCTTGAGAGTCCCTTGGACTACAAGGAGATCCAACCAGTCCATCCTAAAAGAGATCAGTCCTGGGTGTTTCCATCCTAAAGGAGATCAGTCCTGGGTGTTCACTGGAAGGACTGATGTTGAAGCTGAAGCTCCAATACTTTGGCCACCTGATGCAAAGAGCTGACTCATCTGAAAACACCCTGATGCTGGGAAAGATTGAGGGCAGGAGGAGAAGGGGACGACAGAGGATGAGATGGTTGGATGGCATCACCGACTCAATGGACACAGGTTTGGGTAATCTCCGGGAGTTGGTGATGGACGGGGAGGCCTGGTGTGCTGTGGTTCATGGGGTCGCAAAGAGTCGGACATGACTGAGCGACTGAACTGAACTGAACTGATGCTTCAATTCTAAGAACCAGTGTTCCACTTATGAAAAAGATCATGCAATAACCAGGAACATTCAACAAACTGAATCACCATATAAACTAAAAAATCTCAAAAGAAATTCCAAGAGATAATTTAACAAAGATCACTGGAACGTCTGGATCTGATTAAGCAGACGCAAACCCTGACTTAACCAGATACTGGAACTATCCAATACAGATTCTGAAGCAAGAAGTTCAAACTCCAAACAGGATAAACTCAACTGTCTAGAAATAGCCTGGGAAATCACATTTCATGTAATCTTAACTGAAAAACACAATTTATGTGTGTATGTACAATGAAATCAACCATGTTCAAAATATATTGCTGATGTGTTTATATCCCATATAAACAAAAATTATTAAAATCAAACTGATTAATCTGTCTTTGGATGGATGTATTACAGGTGATTGCTACTTTCTCCTTTTTAACTTTACCATTTTCCCAGATTTTCTGCATCAAATGTATTTTATCAAGGTCACTAACAACAAACAATTTTCTTTTTTTTAATCCCAAAATGACAATCAAGGAGGAAAACATTAATAAGTAGTTTGCCCAAAGAAATACAGGGCATAAAATCCAGAAACATTGATTGTATTGTTGCTGTTTTCCATTGCTCTTATTACAAGTGTTTCTTCTTCCATTATTCCTAAACACAAATGCTTAGAAAACAGTTCAAGTTGAAACAGAGCAGGACTCTATGGTCCATGCCCCACTGTGTCCTCAGCCTGCCTTTTGTCTGAAAATCAATTTAATCAGAAAAGTGAGAAAATGCAGAAACAAAGGAAAACAGTTAAAGGAGACCAAATAATAACAATGCAGTTATTAAGCATAGTCAAGGACCTTCTCAAGGCTCCTTCTCGAGGGCTGTAGATAATATGCTGAGCCATATCCTGTGAGCTGTCTTGCAGATATTGAAATACCAGATACAGAAATTAACTACATGATGATCAGACTGTAGCCATGACATAACCTGACGTAATTCCAAGAACAGGCCTCAAAGAAATGGAAACAAACCGGCCCTGGAACTGAAGATCAACTGTACCTAAAATAACCAAGACGACTCTGGTCAGAGCACTGATGACTAGGTTCAGGATGACTGCCAGAGATGAC